TTCGCCCTGAGCTAATGTCTGTCACCAATCTTTCTTTTTTTTTTTTGCTTGAGGAAGATTAGCCCTGAGCTAACATCTGTGCCAATCTTCTTCTATCTTGTATGTGGGTCGCCACCACAGCATGGCTGGTGAGTGGTGTATGTCCATGCCCAGGATCCAAACCTGAGAAACTGGGCCACCGAAGTGGAGCACTCTGGACTTAACCACTACACCACGGGGCCATTGACATTTAATGGCTGGATGGACAACACTGAGCTGCAAAGGTCAATTAAAAAAAGAGGTCAGGGGCTGGCGTGGTGGCGCAAGCGGTTAGGTGCGCGCGCTCTGCTTCGGCAGCCCGGGGTTCACAGGTTTGGATCCCGGGCGCGCACCGATGCACTGCTTGGTAGGCCATGCTGTGGCGGCGTCCCATATAAAGTAGAGGAAGATGGGCATGGATGTTAGCTCAGGGCCACTCTTCCTCAAGAAAAAGGGGGAGGATTGGCATCAGATGTTAGCTCAGGGCTAGTCCTCCTCACCAAAAAAAAAAAAAAGAGAGGTCAGTGAGATAGGAGGAAAACCGCGATGGTGTAGTGTGGTGGAAACCAAAGTCAGCTGTGTTGTGGCCACTGAGAGGTGACGTGAGATGAGGACTGAGAATTGGCACTGGGTCCAGCAATGGGAGGCCATTGTGACTTAAGAAAGGATCAGGTCAGTGGAGTGGTAGAGATGGAAGTCAGATTTGGAAGGAAGGAGGAAAAAATGATAGGTGATGGAATGAAGATGAATAGATTTTTGTAGCAAAATTTGTCTGTGATAAGGAAGACAGAGAGAGGGAGAAGACTAGAAGGCATTGTGGGTTGAAGGAGAACTCTTTGTGTGTAACATTATTTAATGACAGAGAGTCTTGAGTACATTTAATAGGCAGTGAGAAAGTTCCAGAATGAAAATGAAAGGCAAAGTAATCAACACATTTTCTGAGAAGATGAAAGGGGACAAAATCCAAAGCAGAATTGTGGAGATCAGTCTTAAATAGTTGGAGGGGCAGCTCCTAGTTGAAATAGTCAGGGAAAAGGCTAGGATGGATATGAGAGCAGGTAGGTTTTATGTGCTTGATAGCAGGAAGTTCCTATCTGGTTCTTTTTAGTTGTGTGTGTGTGAATATTTGTGTGTGAGTGATCTGGTAGGTGAATGGACAAATGTTTCAGGTCGTGATGTTGTCTTCTATTTTACTGCTGACTATACGTGCTAGTAATTAATTTAGGATTGTGCACATATATATACGTGAATGATATTGATGCATGGTGGAGTACAAGAATGACTTCCCACAAATGGGAAAATGGGAATGAAAACTGAATTGGCCCACTATGGGCTCACTTTAGCATACTCCTTATGGAGATGTGTTCCTGACATGGTACATTAGCAATCGATGTTTTGTTCTCTTCGAATCTCTTCAAATCATGACAGGCCTCTAGCTGTAGTTTCTCCCAGCTACTCTTCATATAACCGGTCACTTCCTCTCAGGCTCCAGTGATGTTTATGATGCCCTTTATAAGGCCGAATGGCTTTCAACAATCCTTAATCCTTACCAGCTGTCTCCTCAACTGGTTCTTAAAAAGAACTCACCTATTTGGAGTGCTATAAAACTTGCATTTTAACACTAAGGATGATACTGTTCTTTGGCACTTTGCTGGGTCCATCCATATTATGCTTCCCCCTTTTTTCGTTATCTGGGAGTTTATAGTAGTGCCCACTCTATCATACTGGCTAATCAACAGAGAGAAAAATATATATTAACTATTCTTTTCACTATGGCCCTGGACATTTATCTGTATAATTTGTATATGTGTGTGTGTGTGTGTGTGTGTGTGTTTTTCTGAAATAAAGAGCATCATCATTTGTAAAATAGCATTGCACAAGGCAACTCTATGCAGTAGATCTATTTTTTTTTCTTTTATAGATTTTTGTCATCTGGGTTATAGTAGTTGTGTAAGATGATTTGGAGTTTTCCATACCTTCAATAATCTTAAATAGTTTATATCTGTTTAAGAAGTTTGAAAGAACTGGTTCCTACAGCTGTCTAAATCCAGTTCTTTTTTTCCCTCTTGGGGGCAGGCTTGTGGGGGAACATCTATGGCCTGATCTTTAACCTTATTTTCAAGTTCCCCTCTGCTTATTGTTATAGTCAATTCAAGTGCTTAATTTTTAAGTAAACTCCATAATTTAGATTTTCTTGGAAAAAAGTCATCCATTTCATGAAGATATTACAATTATTATCAAGAGTTGTTCATCTAGTTTCAAGTTGCTTTAAGCCTCCCTCTTCTCTTTTTTCTTGCCACAAATAATGTGTAATCTATTCACTCTTTTTGGCCTACAAGTTTTATAGGGAACAACTTTTTAAAAATTCTAGTGGTTGGATTTGAGGGGGTTAATTGTTTACTCTTCATTTATAGTTGGACTCTATTATGGTCAAAGAAAGTTACCTACATAATTTCTGGCTTTTGGAACTTATTGCAGTTTTCTTTATAGACTAATATTGGATCAATTTTTGTTAATGTTCCATTGGTGCTTAAAAAGAGCACATCACATCTATTTCTAAGGCCCACAGCTATTTGGTTATTAAACCGACATAATTTTCATGTTCAAATCATTTTTCCATATTTATTTTGCAACTTGATGTATTAAATACTGGGTGGCACCTTAAAGGCTCTGACTGTAGATTTTCTTCATTGTTCCAGGTATTTCTTACTCTGTGTGTGTGTGTGTGTGTGTGTGTGTGTGTGTGTGTGTTATGTTATTTGGCATGTTGAATTAGTCAAGACTTGTTTGCAAGAAACCCAACTCAAACTAACCTTAAACCAACAAAAGGGAATGTATTAGCTCATTTATTGGCTCTGCTTCCCCTCTTAGAGTCTGTGTTTTTACCCTTTAACCATTAATTCATTTCTTGATGAAGGCTTTGAGTATTTTTTTTGCCAAAAAATGACCCTCTTATTATGACATTGCAGAAGTCAAATGTGAATTGAAGGATGTTACCTCATGCTACAAGGAATTTATTAGATTTTATTAGAAAAATTACACCAAAATTTCAATACTTGATTTATTTTATATCTTCTAAATGCATATTTGCAATTATTACCCAAATTTTGTTAAGTATACGATAAAGTAAACTTATTTTTATAATTTTTACTTTTGAAGATAAAGTTTTGATCAAACCTCTTGAAGTGAAAAGTGTTAAAGTCACACTGTAAATCCAGTATGTGGGTTGGGAGATCTTCTTGTGGCTGTCTTTGGAAAATACATTCTACCTCGATAAGTGTCCTTAATCATCTATTAAACTTTTAAATTCTTTTCAGTAAACTTGCTTTAGGACAGAAAAGTTTGTCATGAGTGTACTAAAATTCCATCCAAAATAGTTAAAATGAGATAACTTTGTTGGTTTAAGGCCCACCCACTCCAGCTCCAGAAAACATTCCAAAATAGTCTCTGAGTATATTTTCTAAAAAATTTTGACTACAAATTAAAATATATGTGAAAGATAACTGGATTTTTCTCAGATTAAAAGTAAATAAAATCTGCTAGAAAATGAACATCTATGTCCCTGTAAACTCACTAAGGAAGTTTGACATTTGCAAACGAGAACCAGAGTTCTTAAGTTGTAGCAGTGTCTCCTTATGTCTCAAGGTAGCCTATGTTTATTAAAAATACTTCGTGGAAGATGCATAGAGATTTAAGACTGCATCCTGCTATGGCCGGGAACATAAAATTACAACTGAAGAAAGAAGGAGAAAATTTAATGGAAAGAACTGAACATCACAAGTATATATTTTATATGTATTTTTGGCCCATATTGCATTCTGTAAAATACTATAAAATGGTTGAATTGAAACACGACATTTGGAAAAAGAACCACACTCTTATAGCATAATGGAACACACATTCTTGCGTGAAACTAAATACATTTGCATATTTCAAATAGCATAGTCAGTTGCTCTTATAGTTATTATTTGATTTTTTTCATCAAAAGTTTTATTTCTATTTTGTTCAGTTGTCATTTCCCAATAATTCTTTTTGTCTCAGCAGACAAAGAATAGTCATCGAGACATGGGCTTTGGGGTCAGACAGACCTGTCTGGCCTCAAAGGAAAAAAGATGCCTGTGAAATTTCATATTTGAACAAGGAGTGGTCATTGCTTTGGGAAGCCGATTGGCTGTATTGCATTTTGGAATTTCCAGAGGACAAAAGAAATAGCACTGAATTAGGAGGGAGGAAATCTAATTTTTAGTTTTGAATCAACCACTTTTTTTGCTGTCTTAATTTCTCTCTACACCTCAGTTTCCTTATTATTAAATTAATAAAATGGAGATAGTGATACCATACCATTCTTTTCACCTCAGAAGATTATTATGGGCTCAAATAATATATTTGAAAGTACTTTTACACCCCACAGTGCTTTTCCAATGGGAGGTATTGCTGTTTTTACCAGAAATGGAAATATTACTAATTAGAGTAATAGTGAACAGGAACTCAAACCATAATGAAAATTTTAATAAGGATTATATGTCAAATTTGGCACATATGCAATGACATACAGAAAATGTTATTCTTTAGCAGCTGATATGAAAATTCCTCTCAGGAAAACTGTTGTGTGTCTTTGGAAGGAACAGCTTGATGATTCATTTGAGGGAACTCCTAGCTTTGAGTACATTTAGAATGCAGGTAAGTTTGAAACCAGATTGGGAGTTGGGGATGCTCCTTAATGTTTCAAGGTGAGTATATTTGGGGAAGAGGAAAAAGGGGGCTGAGCTTAAAAGGTGACCGAGGGAATATCAGAGACTGGGAGACTTCAGAAAATGCAAAGTTGCTTCCTCCCACCTGTATCCTGAAATGCAGCCTGCAGCCATGCAATATAGTCAAAAGGGCAAAGGCTTAGGAACGAGAAGTCCCAAGACCCTATTTTCTTTTTTCCCACCAGAAATTATTCTCAGTCATTTGCATTTTTTTCTCTTTCCAACCTCCAGGCCATCAAGAAGCAATAGCAGTGTGCTTACACATCCAGACCCAGCAGACCGTCAATGACACCTTGTGCGATATGGTCCACCGTCCGCCAGCAATGAGCCAGGCTTGTAACACAGAGCCCTGCCCGCCCAGGTATGTGCTGTCTTATGCTCCAGGACACACTGTGTCTGGATGGTGTGCCTGCTCCTGCAGGGAAGCGCAGGAGACTCCCAGGTTCACTCAAGGTGGATCAGCTGAGCCTGCTTCGGAGCTCTCTGTTCTCTGCCCAAGTTATGCTTCAGCCGGATTCTTGCATAGATGCACAGATACCGCCATGTTGAGCAGGAATCCCCTGTAGCCTGACTTTTGTTTGCGTCAAACATGGATGAACATAAAGTAGCCTGCTGCTGGCAAAACCATGAGGGCAACAGGTTTATTCTCTTTCTCCTCTCTGTCTCTTTAAGTGCACTTCTTCACTTAATGCCACGTCAGACAGCACAGGATCTGAGGTAGAGTTAGCGCTGGTACACAGTAGGTGCTCAGTCCATATTTGTTGAATAACTGAGTGATCTCCTATTTGTTACCTAGAACTCTCAGTGATGTGTTAGTACCCTTCCCGTTGACCTGCCTTGGATCTCAGGTTGTACGGTGTAATGTTACAGGCCCCAAAGAATAGGTGAGGATGACTTCTTATTGGTCTCCTTGGTTTGAAAGTTTGACCTTAAAAGTTAATCTTGAGCCGGCTCTGATGGCCTAGCAGTTCAAGTTCGGCGTGCTCCACTTCGGCAGGCCGGGTTAAGTTCCCCGGCATGGAACCACACAACTTGTCTGTGAGTAGCCGTGCTGTGGCAGTGGCTCACACAGAAGAACCAGAAGAACTTACAACTATACACAACTATGTAATGGGGCCTTGAGGAGGGGAAAAAAAGGAAGGAAAAAGGAGGAAGATTGGCAACAGATGTTAGCTTAGGGTGAATCTTCACCTGGGGGACAAAAAAAGAGAGTTAATCTGCTTCCTTTCTTAAGTCCTTATAAGATCCCGAGGAATTTTATCGGAAGGGAGGGTAGGTTTTCCCCATGTTCCTCTATCCCCGAGTGTTGCTGGCTACAGAGAATTATAACTCAGCATCACTGGTTTCTCACATAAGACCTTCCAGAATCCAACCCCCAACTGTTTCCTTCCTCTCCCCTTTACCTTTACTCCCTTGACCACCCTTCTGTGATAAGAATCACTTGCCAAAAACCGAGAGCTCATTCTCAGTCACCTCCCCTCTCTCTTTGCCAGATTCTCTTTCCTGCCTCTTGGTAATTGTATCGCCCGTCCAATGAGGTACCTTTATTTGCTAAGGGAGTTTTGCTATGTCTAGGCCTCTAAGTAATTGAGGAAGGTTATTGTCTCTTCCTGCCATACTGGAGTAAGGATAGTGTATTTTGTGTTTATTCAGGAAATAAGCTGTGCTTCTGGAATTCTCTTGACCCTTCCGATTTTGATTCCATGAAATGTGTTGGCTGTGATGTAGAAATGCCTGCATTGATGGCCTGAGGGTGGTGAGGGTGGGGATCAAGTAAGTCAGACCACCCTAGAAATCCAGCCCTCCACATTCCTGGAGATGGACCCTTTCCTTGTGAGTCTTGGTCTCTAACCTGCACAGTCTTGGGAGGAGGCCAGCTCCAATGTGTGCTTCATCCTTGGTGAGACCACACTGGCAGTGAGCCAGGCACAGGGTTTTATATCCATTACAATATTTCATACTTCAGTTGTAGGCTAAGGAAATACCAGGAACTTCTTGACTTGTGTCAGAGACTTCTTGGTGTGCTTAGCTGAGACGATGCAGTAAAGACCTTTACTTTGGTGAGCAAGGCTCAGAGACAGTGTAGGAAAATCTGCTTCCCTATACCTCCCACTCCCACCCCTACCCCCAAGCTTATTGCATTCCAGAGCAATCCACGCTAGAATACTAGCAGAAGAGTGCAGAAGAGACGGTACAGGTAGGTTTTAGGAAGGTTTGAGCTAAGTCAGAGTCAGGACACCCACTTTGTCAAGTGTGTCCAGAGCTTTCCAAGAACATCAGTATGTGGGAGTAGTGCTGAGTATATATCTACTCGGAACGTCCCTTTTATCTTTAGATAGATGGTATTTATGCGAAGTGTATAAACCTTAGTAATCCAAATTACTTATCTAAGTTTCTCAGTTTTTTCTTATTCTAATATTGGAACCACTGACTCAGATATTTTTGGAAAAACCAGTGTTTCTATTTTCTTTCCCTGCCACATCCCTCCCCTGAGGCTGTGTAGATGGAAATAGATGACTACCTGTCTGAACCGGAAAATATAGGGAGGAGAAAAAAACATAGTTTACCATCTCAACATATTTTCCTGTGAAATTAGAATCATGTACTACATCCCCTTTCTCTACACTAGCCAGCACTCTCTTTCTGGAAAGGTAACTGTAAAAGAAATGATTTGGAATTTGCACAAACTTTAAATAGTGGCTGCAATTTGGCTAAGCATGAAATTCTCATAGCCACGAACAAAGAAGAGTAAAAGAAAGAAAATAATACACAAAATTTGGGGATATATTTTATTTCTAGATTCAAATCTTATTCCATATCAACATAAAGCTAGTCTTCACCACAGTTCTGTCTTCTATTTCTAATCCAAACCAATGACAAATGAGGATATGGGCAAAAGTAGACCAGATGACAACTAAAATAGAAAATGGAAACAGATGACAGCATAAAAGGCACTTCTGGTGAGAGTGATTTGCATATCACAGGATTAAGAGGGGCTGAGAACATCGATGAAACTCAATTTTGTTTATGTAAAAATCACCCTGTCATGATCTAGCACTGAAAGTGAAACAGCCGTAATGTATCATCATAATTTTTTCAGAAAAAAAAAGGAAATACAAAACAATTCATTGTCTCTTCATTCTAAGAATTAGTGCACACAGTTGCAATTACAACCTAAATTATGTTCAATATAAGATAACTTGATTTCATGATTTTTAGTTTAATTTTTCAAGACTGAGTCGAAATCAAACATTTTTCCCACCATTTATCATAAAATTTGAGTCCCTTATTTAGAGTGGATTCACATTAAGTGGCTTTTTATGGTTTCAATTCTCCTCCAGTAACATGGGCATGGCATTCTTGACAACTTTCTGCACAGTATTTTGTAAATCTGCCCTATCCATTCCTAACGGCCACTGCCTTAATTCAGATGTGTTTTACTTGAACTATTTCAATAGTTTCTGAATAAATTCCTGCCTCTCGTGTTTCCTGCTCTGATCCATATGCACATATATGACTATGAAAGATCTTTCTAAATTGCAGAGTGACCATGTGAACCTCCCACATAAAACCCTTCAATGACTTTCCTTTACCTATAGATTAAAATCCACGTTCTTTACTTTGGCGTATGAATTAGCTTCCTTGGGCTACCATAACAAAGTACCACAAACTAGTGGCTTAAACAACAGAAATTTATTGTCTCACAGTTCTGGAGACTAGAAGTCCATAATCAAGGTATTGGCAGGGTTGGTTCCTTCTGAGGGCGCTGAGGGAAAATCTGTTCCACGCCTCTCTCCTAACTTCTGGTAGCCTCAGGTGTTCCTTGGCTTGCGGATGGTGTTTTCCCTGTGCTCTCATATTATCCTCCTTCTGTATATCTCTTTGTCCAAATTTTCCCTTTTAATAAGGACACTGCTCATATTGGATTAGGGCCCACTCTAATGACCTCATCCTAACTTGATCATCTGCAAAGAGTCTGTTTCCAAATAAGGTCACATTTACGGAGACTAGGAGTCAGGACCTCAACATCTTTTTGAGGGAAACAATTCAACCTGTAACAGCATATAAAATCCTTTGTGACCCTGGTTTTGGGTTCTTGAACCATGTCTCCTGTCACTACCACCCTCACCACACACACGTACACACACACACACGTACACACACACACACACACACTTACCCTGAGGAACTTGTACAGCAGCCACACTAAATTATTCCCTAGGACCCATCTCATGCTCATTCATGCCTTCTGTGCCTTTGCAAATACCACACCCTCTGCCTGGAGCTCTTCTCTACTTTGAAATAAGTTAATTCTCTCCCATAAGAGTAATCATTGGCTCACTTCTCACTGGTATAATGAAGTCCAACGGAATGTGAAATAGGAGCCTAACCTGAGACACCTGATAGAGAGGAACTCTTAAGAATCAAGAGAATGGAGAATGAGTCAAGGACACAAGGTAGAACCCCAGTTCAGACAAGTCCCCTAGCTCTCTGGGCCTAGGGTCCGAATCTGAATGACAAAAGGCGTTAGACTTTATGGTCACCAGGGTCCCTTTCATCTCCAATCTTTCATTGTTGAGTTTTACTCAACATGTTTCCCTTGCATCTTCAGAACTGTGGCTAGTCTTTTTGCAATTATCCTCCTGTCTACTCATGAGTAGTTTGTTTTATTTCTAAGAACAACATCCTTTGCTTGCCCTGCCCAGGAGGTCAAGGCAGGGTTGAATTTGGTTTACAGTTCTGTCCTTCCTTTGCTCACCAAACCAGAGTGAGATTTCACAACAAGTCTGGAAACTATTTCTTAAGGTTGCTGCAGGAAGCATGCTGGTTTATTCACGCACCAGCCCATGTGCAGTAGCCCCTTCCCCCATCGCTGGGCCTCAGCAAGAGTTTTTGCACATCATCTTCTTCAGCAATGGCTTGCCCACAGAGCTTCCAAGCTAGGAATAATAGAGCACACAATATGTCTTGGCCACTTTGAAAAATTAAGAGTCTGTTTTTATGTGAAGGGAAATACTATTCCTCATTTCAAAGTTGCAAATTTAATAAACTTTTCGAAGGTTGAGAGTTACATTGGGAAAAAACCAGCAGAGACAAAGGGTTGATGCCAAAATAAAGGTAAGTTTACAAAAATGTTTTCTGTTCTAGAAACTGGTGGTGTAGGAGTAACAGGAACAGGGTGTTGCATAATACTTTCCATACAAATATTTACTGACGCCAAGAGCAATAGCAGTAAAATATCACCCCAGGGTGAAACTTACCACTGAGATTGGGTTGGACAGTCAGCCGATCTTTATTTACCCAAAGGCAAATGTATTTGATGTGTTAGCCTGGACTCTCCAAGGTGGGGTGTTGTGTGTT